CAACTTTCTGTGCATATACATATGTTTATATATACATATATATCTATATGCGCACAGAGTACCCCTGTACATAAGAAAACTGACCACAGCTCTGGTTATGCCAGAGACATGAAACTTTACTTTGTAGTTCAATATGATGGTACAAGAAGTCTTGCAAGGCATGAAGACTAGTCATACAGATAGAATCGCCATTAGATAACATTATGATAATATAGTATGGTTTAGGTTATTTGTTACACATAGTTCACATAAACTATACTGTATTTGTGCTGCTCAGTATTTATGTATGTACCTAAGTAACTGTATATCCAATGGACATGTATCTGAATGGCATTTTCTAACAAAGGGTAAAAAATAAGTTAACAGTATTGCTATTAAAATAGATACAAAAAACACTGTAAAGTGTATTCTCTGGATCACAGAGACCTCAAGTAAAAGTTTTGGAGCTGGTTCTCAGTTATCGAATCTTTTAGATGAAATGCCATATGCCAGAATCAATTGTTTCTGATTTTCACAAAAAGACTACTGGAATTTTCAGGAAAATTTGATTTCTCAGAAGTTCAGTATGTGTATGTTTAGATAGTCGGCCAAACTGCCCGCTTGTATCCTGAGAGGATCTTAGGCTGCACACTTCAGCATTATCAATACTTTTCTCTTTGATTTTTGATGCATAATAATGGTCTTGTGCTCCAAAACTTGAAATAGTTGAGCAGTTGTCCGGCCAAAGGGCATCAGCTGAAATTCTGCTTTAGGAAGGACATAGGTGGCCTAACTGGCCTTTCCACTTTTTAATGTTGTTATCTCTGAAGTCCAAGGGCAGTGCTGTTTTTCAGCATCTGGTAAAGTTTGTGAGCAATGTCTGTGAGGAAGAGAGGGAAAACCCAGGCTTTTCAGTGCAAGTCTGGCAGACCAGGATCTGCACCACTGGCAGAAAACTGCTCTGGGGAGCTAGGGTGGGTGGTGGGGAGCGAGCCCATCTGCCCATGGTGTCAAAAAGCCTTTCTGGTTCTTTCCTGAGATGAGCTGTCACAGATCCTGCAGTGTGGGCAGTGGATGTCCCTCCATCCCAGCCACCCTGGCCAGATGTGGATGGGAGGCATGGGTGGGGGAGCGTGGGGGCAGCCCCCCCCTCTGGAGGGTGCATGCTCTCAGGGAGATTCACACATAGTTTTAGTATTTGCCACTTACTGGTGTGAAAGGTGCCTTTTCTTCCTGAAGGCGCATTTTTGTTGCAGGAAGTTTTCTAGCACCCGTGTGCCCAGCTGTGCGTGTGTCCAGGCGTGTGTTATTGGTGCTCATATCGCATCCTGCCTGAGGGCAAGATCCCTCAGGCCATCCTGGACCCATGGAGCTCGCGGTGTCTCTCACCATGAAGGTCAGATGGTGACGCTTACTTTCTTAATTGCCCACATTGAAATGATAGCTGAACTTCACAGCGTGGAGGTTGGCATAGCTCTGGCAGTGAGGACAAAAAGCAACTGTCCCCCAGCACAGAGCTTCAAGGTCTTGTCTTCTTGCAGCAGTAGCACAGTTTTTAGCGTGTGGGATGGGACAGAAGGGTTTTTAGGGGGATGGGGAGTTAATGCAAGCCAGGACTTGAAAGCAATTGAACCACTTTCCCACAAGGTCTCCCGGCATGCCAGGGCCCAGCCACTGTGGCTGCTGTTGTTGCTGCATTAATACCATGTTTCTCCAGGCTAACCCATTTCCCACATACCTATTTACGTACCTCTGCAAGGAAGTGGTAGAGAGTTGCCCTTTTTTATTATTTTAATGGAGTTCTTTCTCTGCTCTGGAAAGAATCTTTAGCTTGCTTTCCTGTTAAAGGAGCCTGGCAGGGGGGGGTGGGATGTGTTTTTTTTGTGTGTGTGTGTGTGTGTGTGTGTATGTAGGTGTGTGTAGACCTGTGTGTGTGTGGAGGGTTCTCCCAGGACAAAGTCTCCCTCCTGTATGGGTTCCCACTGAGATTAAGCAGGAGGAACAGAGCCACAGCATGGCTTTTGGGTGTCCAGCTGCTTTCACTGATGCATTGGGAGCCTGTGGGTCAAACTGGAGGCAAACCCATGGCAACCTGCACCATGCCTGCCTCGCCTCCTAGGTCATGAGATGATGCTAGAGAAGATGCTGCTTGAGCCATGCTGGCCAGGCAGCTCCATTTCCCTCAGGAGGCCTTCACATGAGGGACCTACTCAATCCTGGCCAGCAGACTGGCTCTGGGGTGGGTCTGGCTTTGCCGTGATCCCCAGCAGCGCTATTCTGGGGGGTACTGGCACATGCTACAGGGCTGGCTGCACTCAGCCCCACCTTGTCCGCTCTGGGTAGGGATGCAAACCCACCCTCAGCCGGTTCCTGTGGGGATGCAAACCCAATATCATCCTGACTCCACACCCCCTTGCAGTAGCAAGGGCTGCAGAAAGCGCCCAGCTTGGTGTCTGCCCTTACCTTGCTCCATTTGCTTTTTCCTGCTTGCCCCTCCTTGCTCCTGGGACCTTGCCAGATGGTTCTTGCTTTTAGTGCACAGGTCTCTAGCGCAAAGCGGTCCCTTGGCCAGGACCTGGGAGGGAGTGGGGCCTTCTGCAAGCCCTGCCAGGGAAAGGGAAGACTTCTCACATCTGTGCAGCTCACAGGGGCAGCCTTGCTGGTGTGTTGGGGGCTTGCCCGGATCCTCACGGAGGGCTGCGAGAGAGAAGGGGAACGGAGGGGCGTTATTACAGTTTTAAATCAGGTCCACAATAACGGCTTGTTGTGTAAGAGTTCAAGCGCTCAAAGAGGTGTGTTCAAGGACATCAGTGCATTTGTGCCAAGGGGAATGTCTTTTATGGTAAATTAACTCCAGTTAAATTGAATATTTATTCAAAGGGAAACTCCAGTATTTAAAGCTGGTGTTATCAGCTTTTTGCAGTGTCTGGGTAAAGGAAAAGATGATAGGATTTGGGGGGTATTCTACACCAGATATGAAAATAAATTTTGCTCATTGTGGTTAACCCCGAGTTTGCCTCATCCCTTCTTGCCTAAGCGTATGCTCTGAACTTGTCACTTATCAATGTGGTCTGTACGAGGGAAAAACCGTGGCTGTTGCTTGAACCCTGTAAATCTGAGGGAACTGGGCAAGTGCAGCCAGAAACCGAGCTGCGGGGATGCGGCGTGGATTCTGCAAGGGTTAACGCGTTGGGCTCTTGCTGTTTCCTTTGACGTTACCTGTCTTGTACGGGCTCTCTCTTTCCCCCGCCCACCCCCCTCCTTCTTTTGGTTTGTAAATTTATGGGAATTGCAGCTGGTAGACTTGGCAAGCTCCCCTCATTAAGAGCCCTCTTTGAAAATGGGCTGTGTTTGAGCATTTCCCTAATGAGGACAGGACGGGGTTAAAAAGTGACCATTTCATGGTTGACTTGAACCTGCCTGCTTTCCTTGATGTGTCGTTGTGAAATGCCTGACGTGAATAAACTCTCACTTCGGGCAAGGAGGAAGTCAGCGGTCCCTCCGGGGCGCCGCCGGGGGCTGCGCA